GGTCACTCAGAATACCAAATAAAGGAGGCAGACCAGTACCTCCAAATTCCAGTACTATCCAACAACTGTTGAAAAGCCTACAAAAATAGACAAGGGCAGATTCTTGTGGCAGAAATCTCTTATATCAAACTGGAAGGAATATAGAGTTTTTAAGTTTTCCATTTTTGCTTGCCCAATAGTTCCTCACCAGGGCTCTGAGCAAGTGAACTTTCACTATTCTTTGTCTAGTGGCTTTAAAATTCTGTTTCTCAAAAGGGTCTGAGCATAACTTTGTGCCTACACAATGGAAAAAGGCTTTCTCTCATTTTACCACTTGCCCTTAATCTTTCTCATGAATAACTGACATAGATTCATAGCGAAGAGTCTACTATTAATGTAAACTCCCCAACAGAACTGTGGGTCTCATGGGCTTTACACTTTCATTCTAGTCTACAGTTGATCTTTGGAACTTTCATAAACATTTTAAAGACATTCTCACAAGTACAAGCATGTGGAGGAGGAAATGATCCTTATCTCTCTGAGGATGAGTGTTTGTCTCCAGATCATGGCACAGACAGTGATTATTTTGTTCAAAAGAACCTTTATCTCCAAATTGGGAACAGAGTGAAAACATTACCCATCCTTGCATTCTTCCCAACACCAAGAAACAATTCTTTGGCCTCTACAATAAGATGCCTCTTTGGCCTACAAACAGGATCTATCAAATACAACTGTGTTGAATGTTCCAGGTTCCTGAAACTGGCTGGGCCTCCCAGTCAGAGCTCAGTGTGTGCTTTCTGCAGTGGCTTCTCTGCTGCCTTATTTGCAAGAAGATGGGTCCAGAAGGTCACTTCCTTGTCTTTCAGTCTCTGGGCAGGTTGGATGGTGGCACCAATACGAAGATATCCTTCCTTTTGGTCATACTCTGGCCAGTGAGGAAGCCCCTCCCCATTGGGGTTCCTAGAAACAGAATTTATTAGAAATTGTCCAAAGAGCTGAGTAAACCACACATTTTTCCTAAGATTTTCAAATTTTCCCTGGCTTAATTCTATAAAGAGGCCCATGAATCTCTAGAAACAGGGAGATCCCCAACTCCTGGGACAGCTTGTACATTTACAGTGAGCTGTCATTGTCAGAGGGCTATGGTCTGGATCTAGGTTTTGATCACTTAGTTGTGAAAATACTACATAAGTGTGGCCAGCCACACAACAACACCAACTCTGTTCAATCTTTACAACAGCCTTACCCATTTCGAGCAAAGTTGGCCCAGAATTTCATCACTGTCTTGCTGAGGTTGATTTCCTCTTCTGAGGCACCCCCTATGCAGAAGAATGAGAAAAGCCTTTAATACTCAGAGTGTAGTGGTACTGAAGAATTTTTAGAAATGCATAGTGTGGCCTTTACTCCATACCTACAGAGTCAAACATCTATACTGTAAGAGGATCCTGGTTAATTGGTGTGCAATTTAAGCTTCAAAATCACGTATGTAGGACTCAGTCGTAGACATGAAATCCACTCATATTTTGGGGGCCTTTGTCTTCTGTGTTCATAATTAACACTCACAATTACAATTGCACACCCTAGGGATTCTTATGCCTTGTAGTATTACTGGATGGAACAACCCTTTTTATTCTCCTAAACATGTCTACATTTTCATAGATAATGAAAATGTCATCTGTGTACAGGATCCTAAGGAATAAAAAGTGAGAGGTGCCAGAGGTATGTGAGTATTATGAGGAACCATGAAATAGAACACAAGTCAAAAGGTATTGAAAAACTAAGCACATCTATGGAAAGATTTCATTCGATATCATATTGTTAAATACAATATTGGTAAAGATATATGTTTTAGGTATATGGAATTTTAGACATGGATGCATATGATATTTGATTCAGTAATTTTAACTTCTTCTCACTCTCATTATAGTAGGCTTTAGTGAGTGGCAATTCAATCAGTTGCATTCTTGCCCTCAAGTAGGGCTCTGCAGATGACCCACTGTGCATCCTTTTGATATTACAGGTTAGAAGGGTGAGAGAGATTATGGCTGGGGCACATGAATACACATCCTCCTCCATGCACTGTAGAGCAGGAGAAAGGCTGTGTTCTGCTCAGTGAAGCTCAGTTCTGTGACATGAAATGAAGAGCCTAAGGTGAGGAGACAAGGAGAAACTTGTTAAAGGCCATCAAACTAAGGATAGAACCCAAGGCTACTAACACCAAGTTCCCAGTCAGCAAAGAACCAGTACCTTTTAAAAATGGAGCCCCAAGCACTGAGAAGATCTCATCCCCATGGTCTCCTATCACCGTCTTGGGTCTCAAGCCTGAGAAGAAGCTTGGACCATACTGGAACTCATACATGTAAGTGGGAGCTCCAGCATCTGAGAAGAAAAGGAAAATGCACAGTTCATCTTACCAGACTCAGACCTGGAAAGTTTAAAGGTCTTTGATTATAAAAGAAGCCCCTGATTAGCTGTACAGGACAGAAACAGATTCATAAAAGTTCCTTCTCTGGTTTTTAAGGCAGCATAGATAGTAGAAGTAGAATTGAGGTTTGAAACAGATATTGATTAAATGACAGAACAAAGAACAGAGCATGCACAACTAATGCACTAAATGTGTCCCATGGATAAAATGTGGTCTTCATTCATTTCAGTCATATTTACAACCTACTGGGTGTCTTGCAGTTAGCCTAGTTTGAGCATTTGTAGTGCTGCAGAAAAAGAAAAAAAACTCAATTAAAAAAATAAGTAAAGGACTTGAATTGACATTTCTCAAAAGATTACAAACAAAAGTAGTTTCAAAAGATTCAACATCAGGGTGGGCAAGACAGCTCAGTGGACTAAGAGCCAGCTTAGGCAGGTGTGGGGATCAGGGTTCAGTTGCTGACACCACATGCCACACTGGCTGTGCTCCCAGATTCACTGAGCCAGGCATCAGAGCCTGGATGTGGTGATGTATGCCTGTAATCCCAGCACTGGAAAAGCTAAAATAGGAGGATCACTACAAATCCGAGCTGCGTAGTCTCAGACTAAGAGAGACCCTGTACCAAACACATAAAATGTTCACCATTAGTAATTAGAAAGATGTAACAAAATCACAATGAGATATTATCTTTCCTCAGTAAGAATGGCACTCATCCAAAACAAATAAAGGAAAAACAGGAAGTCTTTTTGTGGTTGTAGAGAAAGGGAGACATTTTGACAGTTGTGTGATGGTCTTCAAAAAAGTAAACCTAGAATTATCATATGAGCCAGTGATCCTGATTCTGGGTATCTACTCAAAGTACTGTTCAAAATGTGTTTCTCAAAGCCAAGACTGTATCCCCACGGTCACTGCTGTGTGCACACAGAGGTAAAATTATGATATCAACCTGCATCTGTCAGCAGAAAAGTGGGCAATGACAGTGTTACATTAGATACACAATGGAATTTCTTTGTCTTCAAAGCAAAGAAATTATGTCTTTTTATGACCACATGTATGAAACTGGTGATCATTACCAGTGAGATAAATTAGGGAGAGAAATACAAATATCATGGCATCATTATATGTGGAATCTAAAACTAAAGAGAAAAAGTGGTAGTGATACAGGTTGGCATGAAGGGAAGGTGGAGAGGATGATGAATAGGTACAGAATCTTAGACAAAAAATTTGTTTTCTTCTTCTTTAGTTCTGTTGCATATTGTGGTGAATGTACTAAATGACAGCACTGTAAAATTAAATCTCTAGGGAAATAAATTTTAAGTGTTCTCATTAAGGAGATGTATGTTTCATCAGCTTGAGGCAATTATTCTACTTTGTATTCATAAATCATAATATAATTATTCTTCCTTGTGTCTATAAATCATATCATAAAAGTATACAGCATAAATTTATAAAATATAATTTTCAAATTCTAAATTTTTAACAATTTCATGAATCACTCTCATTCTCACTTTCAAATATTCAAAATTCACCTGATGCCCTGAAGTTGCTTACAAGTAATTACATTTGCACAAAATCAAACATGGAAAAAGAATATGAAGGTTAGTTCTTATAATACTTATTAAGTTCTGAATTCAAAAGCCCTTCCAGAATGGTAGGAAGAGGATTCAGGAATAAAGAGCCATTGCTGGGTTCAGACTTGCTGAATAAGACCTGGTGACAAAAGAGGGTTCTGTGAGGCTCCAAAATGGAACCTATAGAAGGCCCCCTCCATCTAGAAGTGCTCAACTGTCCCTAAACCCACTCTATCCACCCAGTGTTGTATCAGGATCAGAAGGTCCTGTGATAGACCCCATTCTGACCTCAGCTTACCACCCTGGCACACACCAAAACAGAAAAGTCTGAGCAGATATTTAAAATGACTCATTTGCCTCTGCCCTACATGTAAGCCCCTCTGCATTTGCCACGCTTGCTGCTGCACAACCTGTCTGATCCTGTATTTGATTCCTACTCTTCTCCCAGATCCACTAGTTAACCTATCATAAATATACCTCTTACTATGAAAATATTTTGTAACCCATTACGAAATAGTTGCAGTCTAGTCTCACATATCACCACCAACTCAAGGGAGGAGCTTCTGGGCCAGTTGCCACTGATGCCTCATCCATAGCCATCCATTCTGGACATGTCAATTTTTCTTCCACCTCCAGCACCTGTAACTCTTTTTCTCAGGCTTTTGTCAGGACACCATAAATTACTTTGCACATGTTTTCTAGAAATCAAAACACAAAATTTACAACCATTTGGAAGAGTCTTCAATCAGGACATGTGAGTACTGGTGGATAAATGGCCGATTCCTTGCTGTATAGACAGGGTACCTCTGATAGGCATCTTCTGCTTGCTTCTCACAGCTCTCTAGCTCTGGTTTTTGCATGGTAGAAACATACTAAGCTCTGCTTCATTTGGTGTCCATCTGTTGCCCAGGTCATTTCCTTATCTCTCCCTACTGGTGTTTTCTGTGATCATTTCCCAAATTAACAACTTATATCTGCATCCTTTTTTCATAGTAGACTCCTGTCAGAAGCAAAACAAGACAGGGCCCCTCCCTGGGCCATCAAAAAACCAGCCTGTGAACCTCACAATTTTCTGTATTTGTCTAGATGTGAAGTAGGCAGATCAGAGACCAAAACTGTTGTATGAGATTCTGTCTTCTAGAACTCACCTCTGTGGCCACGGGCCACAGTCACAGATGGGACACCAAACATCAAGTCTGCCAATAAGTCCAGGAAAAGCTCTCTTTTTTTGACAGGATCATCTGTTCCCCCTAAATATTTCTCAGTGGCCAATGGTGCAAGTTCCTCAGGAACATTCTGAAATGCATTAAGAAAATGATCACCCCTCTGATGAGTAATATGTATTCTCCAGCCAGTCAGCAAGCTTTGTTAAGGGTGAAATTACTAGTGTAAAAGGCAAAAAAAAAAAAAAAAAAAAAAGGGCCAAACTGCAAATTCTAGTCTTTTGTCTGCCACTGAATTGGTCTGTAACTATGGGCAAGCTCACAGCCCTTCTGTGTTGTTCTAATTCTCATGATTCCCTATATGCTTACAATAAAAGGATAGAACTTCCACAAAAGTGATGTGGCCGTCTTCTGGTCCAGCTTGCCTTCAGGAATTGGATTTCCCATCAACTGTTAATAGAATGATTAATCATTTGTGAGTAAGTGGGAAATACCAAGAAACCAACCAAATCAATGCAGAACAAAGCTTTTGCATTGGAAATTTCTAGGCCTAGGTCTTTCATTACTTTGAACACTTTAGTGAAACAAATGGGCATAGCCAAAAACTCATAGAGGAGACATATAGATATAGAGATAAGGATCTAGATGTGGGTAAAATTATAGATAGAGCTAGATAAATCTGGATAGAGATAGATTTAAATATATAGAAAAATACCTGGTCATGGATCCAAAATAAAAATGGTTGTGCAGGCAGCAAAGGGTCATTTAGGATTTAGGTCAAGGTACTGTTGAACCATAGGTTCAGGAACAGAGGATACTGACCATATGCCACAAAATCAGATGACTGAGGTGGAGAAAACCACCATTGTCTTTGGTCCTTTAGTACAACCACTGAGGTACTTTTGAAGTGAGGCCTGCAGAAGTCCTGTCACATGACACTTTTGTCCAAATATGTGTACTAAGAGACTTCACAGAGTCCTGCCTGTCTTCTTGAAGGTTAAAGTTGCATCCCAACAGGAGGCTAGACATTAAAATGCTTTCCACTGGTGGGAAAATCCCTGATCATAAGCAAACATTATGAATCTTCCCTTAGAAAAGCTACTTAAGAAAACAGATAATTATCAGTTCTTCTCTGCTGCTCAAAATGTAAATCTTTCACCCAAAATAGCTTCCTCAAGGCACTAAGAAATAATATTTTGAACTTGTTTGATGTGTAAATGTACAAAAAGATGACTCTGGATATCTCTGAGTCTCCATGGGAAGACCAAGTCTAGTTTCAGGGATAGCCTCACTTCAACCTACACCTCTGCTTTCTGCCATGAGCCTAAATTGACTTCTCCCACAGAAAAGCATGAGTGAACAAGTCCAGTGGTTTGGCCCTGTGCAGTCACCCCTCATGCCCCAAGTGCCTTCTTGAGCATACCCATCCTTGAGCCTTTCCAGCCTTTGGTGTTAGAGATTTGAGTTCATGTCATGCTTGATCTTTTTCCTATTATGATCAAATTACTAAATAAAACTTGTCCTAATAGTGAATAGATTTATTTATCTTTGACCTAGAGAAAGCTCTTCATTCCATTTAGAGAATGAACTCATCTCAAAGGAGTATTTCTAATGAGAAATATTCTCTGAATCTTTCCTATGAGAAATACAAATGCAGATCTATAGGAGCTAGGAGTGCAGGCCCAAGGTAGAAGCTGTGGCACTCCATCCTATGTACCCTGGACTCCCCAGCTTCTCAAGACACCCTTGTACTTCCAAGGTGACCAATGTGTCATACCAGGGCAGTTTTCCAGGTAAATAGCCACTGGTGCCAATATGGACAACTGTTCTAAACTTTGAGGGGCCTTGGAGAAGGATGATTTCCTGGGACCAGAAGTGAGGAGAATGATGTCTTAAAATGTACAGAGGAGGAGCATCTTTCTAAGAGTTCTGTATATACTCACCTTTGGAATGATCCAGCCAAACTCTTGCTTGTTGATTCCTACCATATAGGGGACGGTGTTAAAATTCTTTTCAGCACTAATTTCTTCAGGTGTCTTGAGCAGTAACACTCCATCTATCACAGTGCCTATTAAGGGATAATGCTAGGGAAGAGAACAGCATGTTTGTGGTGACTCTGTCCCTTCATATGTCTCTCTCTCTCTCTCTCTCTCACTGCATAAATGAAAGTGTGGCAAACACAATAGACTTCCCTGATGGTGGGCACTGCCCACAAATACCCAGGGTCCTAACAAACAGACTGTGTTTATGAGACACCAAGCAGAATTGTGGGAAGCTAGTGGTGGAGGGGTGATGCTGGAAGAAGAGGAAGAAGAGAACCCTCACCCAAATTAAAATACATGTTATTGCAATATACAAGAGTTGATTCTGGTGACTTATAGTAGATACATGTGTAAAATCACATTAACTAGTGATCACATACTGTGTAATTGTTCCAAAGGAAGTTCCAAGGTTAGGTTTCATCATATTTTCATTACTCTTGCTTTGTGGGTTAACACTCATTGAAGGCATGTTATATAATACAAAATTCTTACAAAGTATTAGTTACATGTAAAATATGTTTATTATAAAACACCACTTGGGAAGGACTAAAGATTTTTCTTGACCCTAGGTAACTATAATTTTTTTTTGATTTATGATTCACCACAGTGCTATCTACTGTGCTTGTTATAAATTCAACAACTCATAAATCCACACTTTTAGCTGCTTTTCCTTATTTCTCATCACTTTATCACATGTTCTATGTATTACATTACCACTTTCACAATGGCCTCACTTAAAGATATGCAAATCAACTCCTCTCCCCTTATATTTCAATATTGTTGACTCATTAACACTGAATCACTGGTAATGAAATCATAAGTTAGCCCTGGATGTAGCATCTCTATCTCATGTAGTTTTCTTGTAAGGCATAGCCCAGCTGCCGGTGCTTAGGAATATTAGACAGCACATCAACTTTAACTGAGAAATCACTAATGAAAGCAAATATACAAAAATGGGGTACTGCCATGACAGAAAAAACATTTCTTACTATGAGAGAAGGAGCTATAAAGAATAATTTTCTTTTTCACCTCACATGGGTACAGGGTCATGATGTAACTAAAGATGCCCAGTGCCCTGAACATATGTTCATTGTAGATGATCACAGGAGCCTTATAAGTACTGACGTGAGTAACCAATACTTTTCAGCAAGTAAATGAATTCACAGATTCCCAGATTGTTGAAGGTCAGCTGCACATATCTATATAGCTGAAGAAATGCTTATCACTTAAGGTGCCTAAATGAAACTTGAGTCCCTACATAAGAGCAAGAGAAGATCTAGACAAGGGACAAAATCTGCCATAATAGTAAAACAACATAGAACAGGTTGGAGTGCAACCTACTGCTATTTTATACAAGCTGTGGAGCTCAGAGAAGGCTGACCAGGAACCAGCAAAAAGAATAGCTCATGTGAAGGAAGATACACATAGGCCCCTGGGAGCATGTCTTTACTATACATAGTGGGATCTAGGAATGAAGGTCGCTGCCATATAAAGAAAAGACAGCAATTTTCCAAAAGTGGGAAAAGCATGGGCTGCTGTTTCTTCTGCTAGAACTATTTTCCTTTAGGTTCCTAAAACCAGCTCCCGCCCGCCTCCACAGGTACACTCAGATGGCACCTATGCTATGGTTTAGATCTCAAATGTCTCCTAAAAGTCTCATGTTTGTAGGCAGGGCCTAGTCAAATCAGAAGACACTGACCACTGAGGGCACATCTTGGAAGGGAGTGTTTTCATCCAGGTTCTTCTCTTCCCTCAGTGCTTCCCATCTACCATGTGGTGAAAAGCTGTCCTCCACCAGGCCCTTTTACTAGAACTTTTCTGCTTTGGAGCCATCTAACCATGGACTGAACGCCCTGAAATTGACCAAAAATAAACCTCTCATTCTTTAAGCTGTGTGTATTTTGTTCCAGCAACATGAAAGTTAAATAATACACCTACTCATCAGTCCATTCCCAGAAACCACTGTTCAATTCTGTTCCCAGAGTAAACAGTTTTTCACCTTTTTTCTGACCACCATTGCATACAGAATATAGTTTTGTTAAGTTTCTCCTGCACTCTGATCAATGGGATAGAAGGCTCTAAGAGGGCAGTGAATATTGTACATCACTTCTATAATGCAAATATAGTCAGGCCATGCCATTTAAAATGTCTTCTTATATCTTTGCTAATGCTTGAATAGATTTAATTCTGTTTTCACAAGATCTTTAAGAGGAAGTATTCTGATCTCCAGGGAAGGAACAAAGAGGACAGGATTTTTAAGATGCTTCAGCTAATCTCACCAGACCCTGATAGTGCTACAGGCAGTGACTTTAAGGAAAGAGATGAAAGATTGTGTGAGATTCCTAAATACTGGGAGGCTCTTGTATAGGCAAATAGCCTCCATGGCTTCCCAGGAGACTTTCCAGGAGATTTCAATCAAGGCTTCTGAGCCCCTTATCTAGTTTACGCCTAATATTGGTAGTAGAAGATTCTGGTCAAACTTCTTTCCACATGGCCTTTTTAATGTAGAATACGTGAATGAAAAAAAAAGGATAGCTGAAGCAAGATTATACAGATTTGCTGACTAGGAGCATTGCACTGAGAATCAGGGTAGTGCATTTCAGGCCTGTCTCTGATTTCCCCTGCTGATGTTACCCTGGCAAGTCACTTGGCCTCAGCAATATGTCACAAGAAGGAGCATGTTTTTATTAATAATGAACAGGAACTTAAAAGTGTAAGAAATCAAAATCTATAATCAAGAGAGCAAAAGTACTCACCTCTCTGGGGTCTCCAAGTAAATCCACTTGAAGAAGTTTCTGTGAAGACAAAGGCAGATATGTGAAATCTTTGAATTAAAGATCTGTGCCCCAAACGCATTGCATTTGCAGCATATTTGCTCATGCTTCCTCTTTGGCTGGGCCCAGACAGCAAGGACACTGCACAGTCTTTGCTGGACATAAGCATAGGATGGTAGAGTAGGACAGGGAGAGATAGGCACTAATAAGGGAGGCTCAATCCTGAGAACCTAGGGTTGAGAGCACTGGAGCTACTGGCATCTGCTCTTCTCTATATCCGTTTTCCTATGTGTTCACCCTGGAAATATTACTGCAATTTTCCCTTTGGGGAAAAATGGAAAAGCTGATTGTGGTGGTGGGAATATTTGATGAGATAGGAGAACAGTGACTGGAGACTGCATTACCATCATCCTTCACCTGCTTCCCTCTTCTTTCTCACCCTTCATGATTTCAGGTATCAATATGTGATCCAGGGTCTCTAGGTACCCAAACTTAGAGATTAGTGCAAGGATGGATACATGCCAACATCAATCCAACAGAATATACACCAAAACTGATGCTGTAATTTTAAGGTAGATGATCTCTAAACAGATATATGTCCAGAGGGTTGTTGTCTTTTTACTTCTCCAAGGAATAAATGTACTTCAGAGAGAAGCCCACTAAGGAGTTATAGTTGAGTCAGAGAGACAGGTAAATTTTCAATAATATCTTTAGAGTTCATGGATCCAGCCAAGATTCTTTCATATCAAAATCCATTTTTCTTTCAGTCACTTTGAAATCAATTCTCTCATTTTATATTAGGAAAACTATGATTCATACAGACTCACTGAATCTCTTATCAACTCATACTTTTCTTTGCTGTACATTCACCAGGATCTCATGATTTCTAGGGACTGAAATTATCTACAGTATCTAACAAGTCTGTCCCAGATATGTGGACAGCAATCACTGGAGATGCCTCCATTATGAGTCATAGCCACCACAGGCCAGGTTGTGTGTGTGTGTGTGTGTGTGTGTGTGTGTGTGTGTGTGTGTGTGTGTACTATTGCTTGCTGAGGTCACTGGTAATCATGGAAGCTGTTCCACAACTCAGAAAATTGTCCTGGGATCACAATTTCTCTGAATTTTCCCAATCACCAACTATCTTTCCAAAAACTAGGTCCTCTTCTCTCACATGGAAAATGACTTAAATATTTTACTTTTTCCAAATATTAGGAAAACAATGTCTTAATTTTTGTAATATCTTGGCTGACTGATTTGACCTGATGAATCAGGACTCAAGCCTGAGAGCTACATTAGTGTCCATTTATGGTCTCATCTCAAAACCCAGTACTAGAGGTTTGACCTGGGGGTATAGACATTTCTTCTTGTGTTGAGATACAGATGGAAAATTAAGAAGCACAGATAACTCTTGATTTCACAAATCCATTCACAAAGGGAGTGCTCTGCTGAGCCCTGGATGCTGGTCTCTTTGGATGTTTGTTCTGTTGAGCTTCCTTGTAAATAAATTAAAGGCCATAATCATCCACAAATGAACAAATGTCACCTCCCTGAGAAGCACCCTTGCTGGATATTGTTAATATATTCATTCTCTGTACTCACACTACACTTAACCCACTAAGTATATGGTTTTCTTTCTCCTTGTATAGTGCTCTGTGAGAAGCGACTGTGATCAATTTATGCATAGATTATCTCCCCTGACGGCACACTCCCATACACTTAGCTGCAGAGAGGGATGTATGAGTAACTCAATACACCTATAATTGGATGAATACATAGATAAACAGATGACAACTAGCAGATAGGTGATAGGTGTGTCAGTGTTTTTGGAGTACTGGGTAAAGGAGTGTGGATATATGTTGATTGGTACTTTACTGGGATTGGGCTACCTCACTGAAAATACACAAATAAAAAGCTGTGGATAGATAAATACTGGATCAAAAGAATTGTTAATGAATTATATGGCCAGAAGATGGCTACATGAATGGAAGGGTTGATGACATAGGATACCTGAATTGAGTCAGGGTTACCAGAAAATGTAATAAAACAGGTCACTGATGTGTTATAATATGTATAGCTTCTAAATCCACAGAGATAAACTGTTATTGTTTTCTGAAAAAAAATATACTTAGCTTTCCCTTCCCCAAAATTCAGGGTGGTTGTTGCTTATAGTAATAATGTAATATTCAATTCTTAAAATACAATTGAAAATAAGAATATCAAAATATTGTCATTGATAAAGCTGGGGGCAGTTACATCATGTTATCACTGGACATTTTTTACATTTGCGCTAATTCATAACAAACAAGGAAAAATGAAATTCCAGTTTATGTCTCTAGCCTAACAATGCTACTGAAAGGTAAGAAACTATTCCAGATGGTTTTAAAAAGACACCTGAAAAAGATAAAGAAGGGGTCAAGTACACAGAGTAAGGCCATTGGAATGGAGGCACTTACTATCTTCTGTGAGATCTCTAATAATTCTTCCTCTGTCTTCTGGCGCAGGCAGTGAACCATGACAGCTGACGTAATGGTTTTACACCCAGCAGCAACAGCAATTTTCTGTTGATATTACAAGTGAAAACAGAGTGTGAGGTCAGTGTTCCTTCATTCCATCAGTGTAGACAGAGGAGATTTATGCAAAAGAGAGTTTATAAAATGCAGGTGGATGTGGCTGCAAACACTAGAAAGTAGGTATGGGTTCTGGACCACACAGGATGCTGCTTCTTTCAATAAGTATGAAGATAGCTATAGCATTGTCCAGGAAGTATATCTATATTGATATATGTATCTATTTCTACCTACATAAACCACAATACTCTCATAATTTAATGTCTCAAGACAAGTTGTTTGTCACAGGCACCCAGAGCTCACATCCAGGAATTCACTGTCCAATGTCAACTCCCAGCTCCTTTACTTAGTACCTATTTGATGTCCAGCAAGCATGTAAATCTCTTTGTACCTTTGTTTCCCTACTTCTAGGAGAAAGTAATCATTGCATTCCTCTTATGCACAAATTTAATACAGGCAATGTACTGAGTTGTGTATTACATCATCCACACATGTAAGGCTTTCTCAGAATTGCAATAGGTCTGGATATGATGACTTACTGGAAAGTACGCAAAAAATATGGTTTATATGTGTCTTTCTTATATTCATATATATTTTTTAATTTTTATTATTATTACTATTTTTCTATGTATTTGGTACAGGGTCTCACTACGCAGCTCAGACTGATGGCGAACCTCCTGCTTTCAGCCTCCCCAGCACTGGGATTACAGGCATGCAGCACCACGCACAGAATTGGTCACCAGCTCAGCGCATCTGGGGGTGGGGTCTGTGGTGCCAGGAATTGAACCACAGTCCCTGTGCTTGCATAAGCAGGCACATAGTCTGCTGAACTATCTTACCAGCACTACATTCATGTATATATGCCAGAGAGTTTGGATAATTATACTGTTGATTTCTGCTGGTTTCTTGAATGAAGTTACTGCTTAATTCTTTTTCTTGATTCTTTTTTAATTGTTTTGGTTTTTTATATTTTATTCACTTCAGTGAGAAAATAAAATAGAAATGAAACAGTTTCAAAACAGGCTAATAGGACAATTACAATAATCAATACATTGTATTGTCTTCATACTGGTTATTCAAAGGACAAAATGCAGACATGACATCTTCTGTAAATACTATTAGCACAAAACTTTCTTCTCATTGAACTAAGAGAAAGTAGCTGTATATCTGTCCTAACTATTCTGTATATATAATTTTTCACTACAAAATGGTCCTTCATTTATATGCCCCCTTCTGGTTTTGTTTTGTCAGAGATGGGTGTTGCATTGCTGTTAGAGAAGCTATATTAGGAGACTTTAAAGAACCTTTTCTTACTTGATGTTAGTTCAAATATTGTAGGTACTTGGATTCAGCAAAATAACTCAATATATAGTTCATAATAGTAGTGGGTTATCAGCAGAACTGGTAATTGTCAGAAGTTGTTGACTTGAGCATTTTACAGCTCAGCATATAAATATAGCATTACTTTTTATACCTCGTGGTTATACTTTTCTGCTGGATGGCTAAGACCAAGATAAGGCAAGACCTATATCACTGAAAATGCAATTTTTGTATCTGACAAGGTCAGTCAAATCCCTTTAGTATTTACCCTGAAACCATGTACAGTAGTTTGCAGATCTTTTGTCAGTGTCAGCCATCTGGACGAGTCATGGCCATTGCTTGACCAATTTGCTTTCTGTGAAAGCCTGAGAAAATGCTTTCTCTCTAAGTGGCTTTCCTTAAGCACCCTATACATTGTCAATCACTTTTGTCTGTGACCCCATAATCCTTGATCAGAAAATCTAGGACACCACTGAGTTACAGGATGTCACAGTACAGGTTCTCTTATGTCCTGAGTCGTCATTGACTTTGAAGGGCTAGGGCCAAAATATTAGCTATTCTTGTAGCTCTTCTGTTTCTCTAATTTTTGGTCTGCTAAATTTAGCTGTTAAACATCCAGAAGAGAAGCTTAATGATATTATTACCCTGTAACAGAGGCAGTTGGGCTTAACATCATTATCTGTCTGAATATCAAACACCTTAGACATAACATGAAACTGTCATTTTCCAACAACCATGGGTATTCTAAACTTTAAATCCTTATAGAATGTGAAAAAAAACAATTACACTCAAATGTGAGTCTTGCAGCAGCATTTCTTGCTCAGCCATTTTGATATCAGTAATCCTTTGAACATCTCAACAGAATCCTAAGGTAAAATGCTCCTTTGCATTCCAGAAGAACCGAAGAAAGTACAATAGCTACCCAGGGTGAGAACTACCTTAGCCAAAGGTTTGGCATCCTTCATGACCAGACCAGCAGTTAAAGCCACCCCACTCTCAGAAATGGCCCTGTGGAACAGGTTCTTGGTCAGGGGAGACAGCACCTGTGAGGAAAATGGAGAGGGAGAGAGTTAATGCTCACAGCCCAAGGAGTTAATGATTTATGTATTCTTTAAGGCTCCATCTACCCACTACTCTGCCTACTCATTCAACTGTAGACATCACCACTTAGGAGATAAGACAGCACCCTATTTCCCTCTTGCTTCCCAGGCTCTCTCTGGCCTGTTTCCCCAGGAGAAACTTGGAGGGATGGAACCAGATCCCACAGTAAGGGATAATAATCTTATAAAAAGGTGTGGTATGTACATATGATAATAACCAAATTTTTGAAAAGAATGCTTTGGCATTCCTTGCAACAAATATTTTTCAGAATTGCCCTCAACAAGCATTTAATCTAAGAAAAGAAAGTATTATAAGATGGTTGTTCCAGGTAGAGTGCTTACTTGGCATTCTCAAGATAATGAGTT